TATATATATAAATTATATATATAAAATTATATATATAATAATATTATATATAAGATTTTATATTTATATATATATAAAATCAATTTTTGAAAGGTATCTAAAATAAATTATCGTTCTCTCGATCATATTGCATAAAAATAAAAATTGTGCAATGAATTCTGAGTGCTTTCGACCACAGTAGCATAAGCAGGTTTTAATGCATCGCGGGTTCTTTTGGAACAATAAACTGCATCCATGATACAACAGCATACTATGAAATGTACATTTCATTATTAACTAAAGCTTTGTTCTAAATCCAAATATTATTATACACTTATAAAATGAGTAGTCTCTGTGTAATATACAATAAAATCGCAATCCGTGCTTTAATAATTTATTTATTATTTACAATTTATTATTAGCAAAAATTATATCCCAGTTATGAGTGAATCGAAGATAATCTTATACGATTAATTACTTAATAAAGGAGGAATATTAATTTTATTATTTGTTATTATTTGCCAAAAATGTTTGATATACTAATATTAATATCGTAACAGTATCAATAATAATAGTGATTTGTAAATATGAGGCAGATTATTTAGTGCAACAGTTATACATATAAAGGATGTATACAAAATATTAAATGTACGAGAAATGCGAAAAATATATAATTATCTTTATTTTATATATTTGAAACAATTATTTTATGAAATTATAATGTTTAATTTACAAGCTTTTAGACATATTTTAAATTCTGTATATAATACCGAGATATAAAAGATATATATTTTTTTTCTATCTTTGATGACACATTAATAAAAATGCCATTTACACAGAAATTAATAATTCAGTCTATTAGCACAAAAAGCTTACCTATTATTGGCAGATATTTAAAGGAAAAAGGAAAAAGCTAGTGACACTTGTGCAATAATGTCGAGTTCTCAAAGCAATCCGATTGATCAAACCGATTTTATTTAAATGAAAAGTAATCACGAAATCGACCTATTGAAACATAGGAAGTAATTCAGTATGACGTTGTAAGTAAATTCGCATTTCCTTTATCAAATAAACAGGCTAAAATAAAGAGACGATAATTGTCTCAACGTCGGTTCTCCATTGTTCGCAAAAAGATATAAAAAAATGCGCATTTTACAATTAGTTAATTAGTCTTCATCGTGTTTTTTTAAATAAAAGTTACTAAATATATTTTCCATTATCTTGTATTATAATTTTAATTTTAACTCTGCTAAAAAGATTTTGCATTTTCGAAAGAAAATTTACGCCCTTTAGCGACATATGATGTTTTTAAAGTATAATATTTCTTTTCTCGCTTTTTGATATCTTGCCATAGTTTAGAAATTTTATTGATAAATTGTACGTGTTTTTTCTAAACTAGTACTACTTAGACTACCTTATTCTTTTGTATTTCGCACGTATAAAATTGTTACATATTGATTTTTAAATATTCATCTTGGAGCATATGACACCAGAAAAATAGACAGAGAAAGAGAGAAAAAAAGAGAATAGAAAAGAGAGAAAGAGGGAATGGAGAGAGAAAGAGGATGCATTTGTCTGTTTCACAATGCATTTTGTTAAAAATCCGAAATGTGGGTCATCCGATCGACTTTGTTGAAGCGAAAGCATTTGGAAAATCATTCGAATTTCATTTGTCAAACAGGATAAAAGAGAGTTAAGACCTGATAACGTGATATCTAAAGAACAATTGTATATCGACATCAATAAAATAAAAATGAACATTGAGTGTAAATATTTAAGCGATATTTATTTTATTTTCGTTGACAGAACAGGCTGGATTTTTGTACAAATTTTTTTCATGTTAATACTTGCTCCAAGCTACACAGTTATGACGAAATAACTCGTCAGGAAATGTCGTCTCATGAGGCCGATGGGATTTCCATTGCATTGACATCGATAACTTGATTGAGCTATTGTTATAGAATGAAATCGATATTTGCTTTTACATAAATACAGCAATATTTATTTTATTATTTATATTAAATTGTGTGTGTGTGTGTGTGTGTGTGTGTGTGTGTGTGTGTGTGTGTGTGTGTGTGTGTGTGTTATTAT